GATTCGATCTGTGGACTTTGTGTTGGAGGTTTTCTAACTATCTGTTTGATACTTCTAGTAGTACTGGGTCCTCTCCGGTCTTTGGATGTTCTAGAATTGTTGAGTGTCTGTTTTTGTTAAATAGAATAATTGACATGTCATTGGCACTCGACTTCGTGACGACCCCTGACGATTCCGGCTCCGGCTCTGGATGAAACGCGTAAGGTCTTGCCGGAGATGTTGACCTAGGTTTGCACGATATGGACATGACGTCCACTTTTGGGTTCAACTCCATGGGCTGGTTTGACTTTGTTTATAATTTGAGCCCTTTGTCGCGTTCGGGAAACATCGATGTGTCAATTCTCGCTCCTTCTCTTATTCTCTTCACTTTACTTGGCCTCTATGGATGTCTCTGATTGTAATGGAGTCTGTCATGTACTAGGCTATATGCCGAATGAGTGTGCTGTCAGGCTATGTATGGACTCGCTAATTGCTCGTTAATTTGTGACTTCTGATGAATGTGCGAGTATACTAAACATGTCATGAAACATATTTTTCTTTCACTACCTACCTACCACTACTCCTAAGGCTACACAGGGGACCCCTGCAAGCATAACTTTCTACCTCTCTTAAGTGAAGGGAGGTGACCTCTCTCGGTGGAGTATCCACAATTTCGCCTTGGAGTGGTATTAATCCTTTACCTAGTAATCTAGCAAGCTAACTGTGGATCAATCTATCAATCTACCAGTTTATCAATCTATCAATCTACCAGTCTATCAATCTATCAATCTATCAGTTAAATTACTACTTTTTTATTTTATTTTTTATAACTACACTATGTTATTCTCTCAAATTATTTTTCGCCTTTAACTACCTTCCTACCACTCCTCCTAAGACTATATAGAGGAGACCCCTGCAAGCATAGGGCTTTGCAAACGAGGCAAATCATGTTGCCCCCCACCCCACCAGCGTCAGTCAGAGATGGGGTGGGGCCGCCGGTGGGGGTCTGGCTAACGCAAACACCAAGCATTTAATGGCTTATACATTTTTACTGTCGAACAACCTAAAAAAGAAAAAAGGAAAAAAAAGGGAACAAATATTACAAATTTAGAGAAAGAAAATGAAGAAAATATGATTTCGGGAGGCCTCCCTTCTCTCTGGGCCACCTTCAACAGGTTTGAAAAGGCTTCCCATCTGCCCACGAAGGCTTTGAGGGATTTTGCTGAATATCTTTTCTTTTGCACTTAATATTCCCAAACTGCCAAAATAGCCTGCTTTATGGCAAACTTGACTTCAGCTCGAACCATCGACGGTGTCAGTTGTTCTCCTCTTTTTTTTTTTTTTTTTTTTTTTTTTTTTTTTTTTTTT